GGTTTTTATCGCCCTCTTTTACACCCAATTCAATATATCGAAGAAAGTTCCAGTTCGCTATGCTCAATGGAGTCCAAGAGGTAGGTCTACGATTGAACTAAATGCAAACTCATCAGCTCTAACAAATACTAGCCCTGGAATCTGTACTGGATTGGTGGATCATCAGGGTTATCCAAGCAGCTGTGAGTTCTTAAAAGCGAATCCAGATTGCTCATCTGATGGACTTTTTGACTACTTAAGCTTCTACTATTGCGACTGCAATGAAGGTGCATTCGGTGCTATACTTTTGGTTCTATGGCTCATAGCATTGTTCTACCTTTTGGGTAACACAGCAGCAGATTACTTCTGTTTCTCCTTACAAAAGCTTTCAAGTCTTTTGAATTTATCTCCAACTGTTGCTGGGGTTACTCTTCTTCCTCTTGGTAATGGAGCCCCTGATGTATTTGCAAGTATTGCAGCTTTTGTGGGACGTGACAATGGTGAAGTGGGTCTCAACAGTGTCTTAGGTGGTGCAGTATTTGTCACTTCCATTGTTGTTGGAATCGTCTCTCTTTGTGTAGCAGATCAACAAGTCCAAATCGACAAAAAAGCATTTCTCAGAGACATTGGTTTCTTCCTCTTCACACTACTCTTCCTTTGCTTGATTCTAATCATTGGTAAAGTTACAGTCTTTGCTGCAATTGCATTCGTCTCCATATACATAATATACGCTGTTTTCATCGCCACAAATGAAATCCTTAAAAAACATGTTCAGAGGCTAAAATTGGATTCTGTCACACCATTGCTTCCACTTAGTATCTTTTCAAGATCAAATCAAGATGATGACATACAAAGCTCTTTACTTGATGCTGAAACGGATTTCAATGGTCCACAGTTACCCAATTCGTTACCCGAATGGATGTGGGCTTCCAATGTTGCAATATATTCAAATCAAGAAAGACATTTATGGGGATGGCATGATGATGCCATCGAGGTTGATCAACCATGGTTCTCTTTAACTAACATATGGTCACTTCTCAACTTCCCGTTGACTTTTCCAAGAAGGTTGACCATTCCTTTAGTCGAAGAGGAAACATGGTCAAAACCATATGCGGTTGCAAGTGCTTCATTGTCCCCCATTCTTCTTTCTTTCATATACAACACCCAAGACAGTTTAACTTCTCGAAGCAAGAATGTTGTTTACATTCTTGGAGTAATTGTCGGTTTTACCCTTGGTATCTTGTCATATCTCTACACAAGGCCAGATCATCCGCCACGTAGGTACCAATTCCCATGGGTTTTGGGTGGGTTTCTTATGAGTATAGTTTGGTTCTACATGATTGCAAACGAATTAGTCGCGTTGTTAGTTGGATTTGGTGTGTTTTTACAAGTGAACCCTTCGATTCTTGGACTTACTGTATTAGCTTGGGGGAATTCAATGGGGGATTTGGTGTCAAATGTTGCATTGGCTTTAGATGGTGGAGATGGAATCCAGATTGCTTTATCGGGTTGCTATGCGGGTCCCATGTTCAATACACTTGCGGGTTTGGGAGTTTCATTGTTGATTGGGGCGTGGTCTGAAAAACCAGTGTCATATAGTGTTCCACAAGATAACAGTCTTTATTACACGATGGGGTTTCTGATTTTAGGGCTTATTTGGGCTGTTTTTGTACTTTTGAGAAATGATATGAGGCCTAATAGAATGTTGGGAACAGGTCTTGTTGGGATTTATTTGGTTTTTTTGTTTGTAAGGTTGACTGGTGCAATGGGGATTGTATCATTGGCTGGTTTAAGTAAATTGTAGACATTAACAATCACGTGGGTTTGAATGATTTCTGTTGCACAGTTTGTAATGTAGATTGTAGTATAGAAGAATTGGGACATAATTTTGGGTATTTGGTTGTATTAGTTGTTGATTTTTGGTTGTTTGTCTTGTTTTTGGCACTTGAGTTGACTATGGAAACTTGTATCTAAATATGTATATTACAATTTGGATGCAATTAGTGTTTTTGCTATTTTGAAAATCATGTATTGGAATGCAAGTTTAAGATGACAAATACACAAAATAGTTTTGGAGTATCGTTGCGAATGAGCTGAGGGCTTCAACTCACTTAGGAAGTTTGAAAAGCATATAAATATTAGTTAGAACTATTGTAGTAAAGCAACCATGGAAATTTTTTTATTAGAAATATGTGAAATAATGCAACACATTTTCGAAATATAAACTCGAATTTGATTCGTTATCTGTTTGGAGCTCATTTATATACCCAAAATCAGGAGAAATTGTGGCATGTCTGTTATTACAATCAGAAACTAAAGATTATATAATTAGGTTATTTGGTGTTAACAACAAGCGACGCTTTGGCCGAGTGGTTAAGGCGTGTGCCTGCTAAGTACATGGGGTTTCCCCGCGAGAGTTCGAATCTCTCAGGCGTCGCAATATTTTTTACTTTTTTTGTTTCACTATTTTCAGTAACTTTTTACGGAAACAAAATTCTTTGTCAAAATTTATATATTATTAATATGATTAAGTATATTCATAGAAATTAAATGTAAATTTGTTGTTATAAAAATGATTTGAGGTTGTATCTATCAAAGAAAAATACACAACAAAAATCAACTTTTTTATAAATATCGTTGTAAAAATCTCAACTAGTTTCCGATTCCTTAAACGATACACGGCCAACTAGCACTAACGAAGTTGTCGTAGCCAGTGAATTATTAAAATCCCGATCTTGGAGAATTCATCTAAAAAACACTATTTGAATAAATATTAGCGTTTTATTAGTCATATTAACTTGTTTTGTTATGATATTAATCAATGTTCTAAATAGCGTGGTGCGTCGTGGCCGCAATATCAACTCTCAAGTTTTATGAGTTGTGGAGTCAGACATTTGTTAAGGTGTGACGTAAGATGAAATTTTTGTATATAATTATAATTTCATATATGTTTTTTATATTATTATTCATTTTCAAGGCATCAATTTCTCAAAGCATGACGTCACATTTGTTAAGGTGTAACGTAAGGCGGAATTTTTGTATATAATTATAATTTCATAAATGTTTTTTATACTATTATTCATTTTCAAGGCAGCGTTTTATCAAAGCATGATGTAAATTACAAACATTAGAGTCATGTCACGTCATGAAGAGCTTTTTAGAACAATGATATTAGTTGTATTTATCTATTTTGTTATTATATTAGTTATATTTATGAGAAATTTACAAAAATGGATTTAGTTCTTAATGACTTAACCAATGTTTTGAAAGCCAGTTTGAATCGGTCGGTTGAACTACCATAGAAGAGATTGGTTCAACTAAACCGATTTTATGTCTATTTCTGAATCGGAAGGAATCGGTGGGTTTTTAACAAAAACCTAGTTGAACTGGTTAAATGGAATAAAGATACATTGAAATGAAACATTTTACATAAAAAACTTTAGTGACCTTTTCAGATCTATTTAAACATCTTTTCAAACTATATTTCGTTTCAGTATTATACTTTATTTTCTTTTTAATATATATGGATTAATGTAAAACTTATAGTTATATATTTTTGTAATGTATTTGGAGTGATTCTAGAAATTAAGTTGATCCAATGGTCGAACCAGTTAAATCGGTTGAATTGGAACAAACCATCATATTGGTTGAAGTAGAAACCGAGCACTATACCAGTTCAACTAAAAAACCGTTTTTTTAACATTGGACTTAACCAACAATTAGCATTTATCCAAAAATAGCCAATAAAATAATAGATTAGACAAACACATTTGTAGTTTCACCAACTTGTATGTGGAATCGTCATCACCTTTAATATCGGTTATTTATGAAATAAAAATCCATTTAGCCCATTTTCGTATACACGGAATTGTAGACAGCGTATAGCTCTGTGCGGTTTCCTCTATGTGGTTTCCTCTCAAGTCATCTGCAAATGTACAAGTTGTTGATGCACATTCCGTTCATTGAGGACTTGTACCATCACAGATGGCCATGCCATTTGTGATTTTGTTCTTTATTTTTCTGATTTTCGAACAAAGTTCATACACAATACTTCTAAATTTCAACGTATAAAATAAATATAAATAAAATAATATTAAAAAAAAACTATATATAAGATTACTTAAAACTTTGTTTTGCGAAACATCTTCATCAGCCATCAAAGAAATGATTCTTGTATCAGTGAGTGTGAAATGAGCTATAATTTTTTTAGGGTTTAAATATATCAGGTTAATGAGCCGCGAAACCGCATCCCATTTGAGGAAATCATAGATGAGTTACCGAGTCAAACAGCGAAATCACAGATAAGTTGATTAAACTACATATGAGTTGACGAAACTGTATACAAGTTACCCATCGTCGGTTTCGTTTGTTACTTGGGATCAATGCTAATATTTTTTTACGATCTTTAGCTAAGGCCTTTCGATATATTCTCAACTCACCGGTATACTTACCACTGTGAAGAAGAGAAAGAAGACAAACGAGAAGATGGTTACAAGAGAAAAGTCTTATTCTCAAATATGGTGGTGATCATGATCACAACAAGGCACCGGAATGGTGTGCACACTCATGGTTGTTTGCCACCACAATCCATCATGACCACAACCACCACAAGGCATCAGGAAGGTGTGCCCACTCGTGGTGGCTTGCCACCTTGGCCACAGACAAGTTTCGTGGCGTCCATTCAAGTTATTAAGAACTTTGGTCATTTTAGTAAATTCCTCTATATTTACTTATTATTTATTTAAAATTTGATTAATTTACAATTTAAGATCCCGAACTAATCTTCAGTCCCCAGTGACCACCTTAATATCATTCAACAACTTTTATAACCTTATTTATAAGTAATTTGATCCACATTATCAACTATACAAAATATTTTTTGAACAAAAATCAGTTTTAATGCAAGAGTTAAGGACTTGATGATTGTGAGAGTACAGCCTTAAACAACTTCTCTGGGATATTCGCAAGTTCTTTCATCATTTTGTAAGCAAATGTGCAAACCAGAAAATTTAAACCATAATCTTGCTATAAGTCAACACTGCAATAAAATATCATACTTTTTTGGAACAAATGGTGTGATAATTCAAACAAAGGTAGTCCTTTATGAGTGTATAAGATCACAATAAAAGAGAAAGTAATGGTCGATAAGAAGCAATTCCATAATAAAAAGAAGCAGACAATATTTCCTTAAGAGATACACAGTTTCACGAATCTGCACACATGTTTGTTGTACTAATCCAAAATCCTGGGATCAAATGATGTTACAAAAAAGGGAAACAAAGCATAGCAAAGCAGCAGCCTAATGTGTCCCTTCCAGTAACTTTCCAAATTTACCTCTAATGACCATATTTCTGGAACTCCCACTCACTGTTGTCTGCAAAACCACAAGAAAAAGACTGTTTTAACCCCAGTAAATAATGTAGTATAAGAGGTGGGTCAATTTAATTGTATTAACAATGTTTTATACCAAGAGGGCACACTTGACGAGTCTTGAGCCAGCGGCTAATGCAGTGAAAGTGAAAAGCATGGTTGCAGACACCTGTCAGTCAATCCAAATCCAAGGTTTACAAATTATTAGATATACATATATAAATTGTTGACAAGACTATGCATATTTCTTGATTATATTGTTCATCTCTTCTCTTGATTTCAACAACAGATGTAAACTATCTGTTGCTTCTTCTGGTTTCTATGATGGATTTTGATGACATTTACCAACTATGTTAAGTCAAAGATAGTTAACATATCAACACATCAAGGGGGAATCAATCAAAAGTACATTCATCAAAGAAATTATATGAAACCAACATCAAGAAAAAGGAACATTATAAATGGCACAACAAAAGGGGGTTATCCATGTTTGGTGCAAAAATGAAGACCTAATAATGAATTTACACACCAACTTTAGCTCTCTGTACACACCAGAACTTGTATTTTAGAAATCAAATATAGCATTAATGTTACAGAAGAATGATAGAACACTAGTCCACATGCAGAAATATACTATGATTTCAGAGTTAGGGTTTAGGTGACAGAGCATACCCCAAGCAACAGTACACTCCTCGCTGGTGGCGCTTGCCTGATTAGCCTGGCATTCGATACCTAAATGAATCAAAAACATATCAGATTACAAAGACAAACCAAATTGTTTAATTCTTAAATAGCGATGAATAAGAAAAAACGCTCACACAGATCCATGATGTGATTTCTGCAGATCGCGCAATTATCAACCACAATATCTGCACGAATTGGGATATCAGGAACATGAGCTAACAAAACACCACGAAAAAATCGATGTTAGGGTTTCGTATACTCACCCCAAGCCCAGAGAGAGACGGCATTCCATTTCTTGATTTCGAAACGCTTTGGTTTCTTTGAAGAGGAAGAAGGTCCTGGAAGACTAGATCCTTCACCGGCGGGTACCATCGTCACGTCGGAGTCCATGGAGTTCAACCACAAGTCGCACCCAAACACTTGCCTAGAGGTCGATTGAGAATGGGAGTTTTGATTTTCCTTCGAACCTATATATTCATAAGGAAACGCCTGCCACGTCAGCACAAAATTCTTTTCTTCACCCTCCGCTTTTGTATTTGACTATATTTGCATTTCTCCTCAACATGCAAAAATTCTATGTGTCCCTAATTTTATTTGGTTCTAAAAAATTAAAAAATAATATTTCTTTAAGCTATCTATCTATCTTTTTATTCATCATGACATCAATAAAAATGTATTAATTTTATTAAATATACCAAGTGTTATAATCTTAGGTTATCTATAAAAAATTACTAAACTTTTTTTTAAAAGTTTCAATAAAATCTTAAAAATGTTTTTTTAACATAAAAGTCTAAATATTTTGATGTTTTGCCTAAATTAACGAAAAAATCATTTTTTATATTTGAACATCAAATGATAGATTGTATTATTTTTTTCAAAATATTGAGACTTTTCTGTTCAAAATTTTTTTTTAGGACTTTATTGAAATTTTTGAAAAAAATTTAAGATTTTTCTGTAAATAACCCTATAATCTTAAGTATATAGGAAGATTATTCTCTTTCTTTTAATAATGGTCTTTAGTAGAATATATTTTATTGGAGTTTTTTTTAGTTTGACTATAAATATATCAACAATCCTCATACAACCACATTAACACCATCTTGATCTTTACTCCACCACCGAATGGGAGGGTCATTATTTTATCACCTCACGCCGTAAAAAGGCCTCTAAGAAGGAAGAGAGAGATATAAAAGAAAAAAAAAACGAAGAAAATTGTGTGACAGCCCATGGTTGAGGCCACACCCTTCCATACCGGTGGGAGCAGTGTTTACAAAATTGTGGCATGTCTGCCTTAACACTAAGACTCCATTTGATAGTTGCTGATTGAGAAAGTGCTGACTAGGAAAGATCTATCTGGGTAAGAAATTTTGACCGAGTAAGAAATCATGTTGTTTGATTGTACATCTGACTGGATGTGTTGACTGATGACAAATGACCATTTTACCCTCGTTCTAAACCAACATCCTAAAACATTAATATTTAAAATAATTTATCATAACTTTTATCATGATCAAATACAATTTTAAACATACAACAATTTTCTACTAATGAAATCAACATCATCCTAAATAATAATAGCACAATTAGGTACCGTTTGGTAGATAAACTGGGTGGAACTGAACTAGATTGGACTTAACAGAATTGGACTGAACATGACAAATAACTTGTATAGCGTTTGGTAAGATTGGAACAGAACAGAACAAGTTGTTTGAAACTTTTTGGTAAAAATAGAACCGGACAGAATGAGATGTAAAAATGACCTTATTACCATTTTACAAAAAAAAAATGTTAATAATAACTCTATTGGACATACATAACTTCAAAATTAACATTTTTATTAAAAAAAATATTTAAAATTCTCATATTAACATCTTGTTTCTAATCTTCGCAACAAAATGGTTTGATAGTTGCATCCAAGCTATTCCATCTCGGTAACAAATACATGTTTTTTTTTTTTTTTTTTTTTTGTAAAATTTAAACAAACTCACATGACTTTTGAAGAAGACAACTCCATCGTCTTCAACTCTCCATATCTACAAAGTTAAAAAAAATAAATAAATAAAAAAATAAAAAATAATAAAAAAAAAAAGAGCATTCTATTGATGTTAAAGAAAGACGTTTGAGGGACGAATATGGAAGATTTTTTTTACCGGTATGGGAAAAAAATAATATTAAAATAAATGAAATGCTTGCAAGAGGTTGGAGAGATACAAAAGTTAATAAAAACAAAAGAAAATTACACAAAACAAACAATGTACTTAACCTCAATAACAATATTTTTTCACCACCACCATCCAAGAGCAACTGAACAATTAATGAAGTCTTCCAACTAACAGGTAAAAAAAACTCAAGGGCAGGTACAAAAGTTTAGGGGCAATTTCGTCAGAAATTGAATATCTACAACTTAAACCGGGCAAAATAACATAAACTTGACAAGTACTAAACTAGGCAGCAAAAGTTTGCTTATTTTAGCCTCCCAAACACAATGATGATTTGGTCAAAAAAAAAAAAATAGAACACATTATTAACATTAGCAAAGAATGTTTAGCCTCCTAAAGTTGATACTACCTTTAACTGATCTAAAGCATAACCAATAACATCTTAAATCATATTCTAACATGTTCCTTTGAATTTAAAACCAACAAAAGGAAACAAAATACATAAGGTAATTGACTTTCTTTGGGCAAGATCGATCAAGAGGGCTAAAGACATAGCATAATCGACCTTTATCTTCCCTCTATATCGTTAAAAACTTTTGAAAATTGTTGGCAAGAGTTTAATAAACATACATTACAAGCTACCTGATTAATTCTACAAAAATATTACAAATTAGTAGTGATTACTAATAACTTCAAGCCATTCAAAATTATAAACATATGAATTTACAAAGCAACAAATGCAGTTTAAGGCATCAAATTGAAATTAAAACATATAAATTAAGATATCGTTCAGCTGATTGAAGAGATGCATATTCTGAAGTTTAATCATACCTGGTGATGATAAGAATCACACGACACTTATAAGAATTCAATGGCTGGAGAAGTCATATGGCATCAAATCGAGGATAACGAATCGATAATCAATTTGTGTTTACAATAGATTGAGATGATTATACGAAATAGTTCATTAGATTTAACAATCTCCATTAGAAGAAGAACAAGGAAAAATCAAAATAAACAACAAATCAGCAAGAAATTAGAAGAACAACAACAAAAAATCTGAAAAATCAGAATAGGAAAGGTCTGTTGAAAAATCGGAACACAAACATCAAGAAATCGGAAGAGAAACAACTAAAAAAGGCAATCGAGAAGAGGGAATTCGTACCTGATGAGAAGATATCTTCGATCGGTACAGGTGCAGTGGCTGAAATCGCCGATCGGTGGGGAGAAAAGGTTCTGATCATCGACCGTTGAAGAGAGAAGATCCATATGGAGGCGCTAAACTTGAACGCAGGGCAAGGAAAGGTAAGGGCACGTTTAGGAACTTTCTCAGTCAGTAGATATCTCATATCTTGCCCGTTCAGATCTAACTTACCGAGTCAGACATGCAAAATTTGTTTCCCAAACAAGAATAGTTGACCGAGTCAGCAAAAAACGTCTGACCGAGCCGTATATCAAACATGACATAAGTTAACCGAGAGCCTTAATATCACTTGTTTAACCACTTGTCACCATTAAATGCCATTGAAGAGTGATACGAACCTACTTAGCCTATTTTCGTTAGCTACGTTTCCTTTTATTTAGTCAAAGAGTAGCTTGTTGCGTTTTATTAGGAACCCACCTTTCATTTGGCATGCATGTTTCTTTAATGTTAATTAGCATGTTTCCCACCAGTGTAGTAGGTCATGTTTCCATTCTTTTCTCATGTTTATTTCTTGCATGAAGTTTAGAGTTTAGAAGCATATTTATTTGAATGTAATCGTATGTCTAAGTTCAAGAATTAAGCAGAAAATTGTTCCGCTCTCTTGTGTTTTTAATCCTTCTTTCTTCTTAATTGTTGGGAGATCAGCCATCTCAAATTGGCTCCTATCATTTGGTGCTTTCATCATCGTCTCAATACCTCCAAAAACTAAGTCCGACTCCACCTCCGACAACCCAAGGCCACCTCCGACAACCCCAATGCCGCCCTCAATGGTCAACTGCAAATTATGTTTAAAAAAAAGTTACACACTTATACCTAAAAAACATTTATTTAGCTTTTTTATTTTCATGTATAAAGAAACATTGGGAAAAAAATCGAATAAATATGATAATGGAGAACCGTAAAAAGAAAATAATAAATAAATAAATGGTTACGTCTTTACTTTTCCCCCTTCTTGTTCTGAAAACCTAACACATCCACATGTCGATTTTAGCGACCCCATAGCCACTGCTTCCTTGACAGACGACTGCCTTCCTTGCTCCTCCGCCATCTGTCACTGTCCGTTGCTCCTCCCGTGTTTCGATTGATGCTCGCCGCCTTCCCTCTTTCTAGTAATTTTTTCAATTCTTTCCTCTCATTCCCCTCTACCTTCAATTTTGTTCTTCCCGCATTACGCCATTTCAAACATGTTTATGAGTTTATTACACCATTTCAAACATGTTTATGAGTTTATTATGGTCGAGCGTGCTCTATGCATCCATTTTTCTACACACCTTGCTCTAAGTCATAAGCTAAATGGCCCTTGATTGATCATAACATTAGCTCCATACCCATTTAGTAATAAGCTCAATGCTTCTTGATTGATCATAACATGGTCTTGAACCCAACTAATTTCGTGTGAATTTTGGTTCTTGTTTCTTCTTGATATCATAAAAAATTTCGGATCTGTATGCCTCCTTTCTGTTCGATAATGCTTTAAACATGTTTCACTAACACATGTTATGCCAAATTTAAAGTTTAAACTCCTTTCTTTGTTCACCTTGTCAGCATATGTTTTTACAAATTTGGACATCTTCACTTTCTTTACTCATAAATCCTTCCCAAGGTTTAATCCTCGATAATAGAAAAATAATTATAAAATGTAATAATAATAATATAAATAATTCTAAGGTACTGCACTATTTGCAAACCCATCGGTGATGTCACAACAAGTGGAACCCACTTGTTCTAATTTTGTTTCTTTACTAAGTACAATTAGCGAATGATATTTGCTCATTGTGCTTACCTCATCATGTTACATTTTAATCCCATCATTCTAATAAACTACAAATGTATTTGTGTGCCTACTCTTATGAATTCCTTCCTATTGAATTATTTCCATGATTTCTTATTAATCCTTTTCATAAAATTGGGAAATCTTCAAGAGTTTAACCAAAGCATGTGACCAGTAGTTTTTCTTCCGTTAATGTAAAACTCTTGACCAAGATTAGTAACTTCCTCTTACTAATAGTGATCATAAGTCATTATTTTTAAGCTGTATTGGTCTTGTATTTCTTTTTCATTTTCTTTAAGTAATTGAAATGGTAAATTGCAGCTGTTCAATTAAAGGGCAAATTACAGAAACATTATGTTTTAGGCAATTTTGCAACTCAATTTAACCTTCTTTATCTTAATTTTTTCTTTCAACCCATAAAAGTTTCAGATTTTTTTTTTTTTTTTAAATTAACCATTTTGACTGGATATATCTGGTCAAAATGGTAATTTTGGAAAATTAACGGTAAATCCTGACATAACCTTAGGGTCTTGTTTGGTTGGCAAGAATCGCTAGAATTAGAGGAATTGGAATCAAGATTACTATATTACCCTCTTTCTTTTAAGCAGTCGGGGAGGCTGAAACAAGCTTCGAATTTCAAATCCTCCTCCATTAATGGCGTTGTTTTATACAGTATCCAAACGCCCCATCTTCTTGAACCCAACCACTAACCTCCGCTTTTGCTCTGCCTCTTCACAGCCACCATCCGACAATGACCCTGCAGTCGCCACCGCCGTCTCCGTTCTCAAACACCATCGTTCCAAATCCCGATGGACCCACCTTCGTACGCTCTTCCCATCCGGTTTCGATCCTTCCCAATTTTCCCAAATCACCATTCAACTCCGTAACAATCCTCACTTAGCTCTCCGATTCTTCCTCTTCTCCATCCAACACTCCCTCTGCCACCACTCCCTCTTATCGTACGCCACAATCATCCACACCCTCGCTCGTTCCCGCCAAAAATCACATGCCCTAGCTCTGATTAAATCCGCTCTTCGTAAATTTCCTGATGTTGATACCAATTCGCCTTTAAGGACTCCACCTTTGATCTTCGAAACTTTGATTACGACTTACAGAACGTGTGATTCTGCACCTTTCGTGTTTGATTTACTGATCAAAGCATGCCTTCAATCCAAACGAATCAATCAGGCTATAGAGATTGTCCGGATGTTGCGCACTAAAGGTATATCCCCAATGATTAGCACTTGTAATTCTTTAATCATGTCAGTTTCTAAACACCACGGGAGCATTGCTGGATATGAAGTTTACAACGAGCTTCTCGGATCCACTCGCAAATTTGGGGATCAAAAACTTGGTGTCAAAATCGTTGTTCCTAATGTACATACTTATAACATAATCATGCATTCTTTCTATAAAGACGGTTTAATTGAGAACTTAGAACAAGTGTGGAGTGATATGATTGTAAACAATTGCTTACCCAGTGCATACAGTTACAACATTTTAATGGCGGCTTATTGTGATAATGGAAGAATGGAGGAAACCATGAGAGTGTGGGAAGAAATGAGGAACGAGGGTTTAAAACATGATGCCATGGCTTATAACACCATAATCGGTGGCCTTTGTGAAGCTGGAGAGGTTGATAAAGCTGAAGAATTCTTCAAAGAAATGGGATTGGATGGGGAAGAAAGTACTTGTGTCACTTATGAGCATTTGATAGCAGGGTATTGTAAAATTGGGGATGTTGATTCTGCAATGCTTTTGTATAATGATATGCGTAGGAAAGAGTTTACACCCTTGGGGTCTACCATTGATGTGTTGATTAAGGAACTTTGTGAGAAGAATAAGGTTTCAGAAGCATTGAAGGTTTCAAGATTTGCAATGAAGAGAAACAATGTGGTTATGAAGGGTGAAAGTTATGAGCATTTGATTAAGGGTTTGTGCAATGAGGGGAGGATGGATGAAGGTATGAAGCTTCAAGCAGAAATGGTGGGAAGAGGATATGATCCGAATTCGGGAATTTACTCTGCTTTTATTAATGGATATGAGAAAGAAGGAAACAAGGAACTAGCAGCCAAACTGAAGTTGGAACTTCAATCAATAAAATGAAATTTTACTATTTCTGTAGTTTATATAATGTATCTTTACATTAAGTTACAAAACAAAGTAAATTTAAGCAAAAAAAGGGCTATTCTGTCATTTTACATTATTGAAATCAAATTCATTTGACATGTCTGCTGCGAAACAAACACAAACAGAATATATATATATATATATATATATATATATATATATATATATATATATATATATATAGTGATTTTGTTATAGAAAGTCAAATGGCAATCATTCTTTTTGTTGCCTAGTCATACAGATGTAGAAGAAGATCATCCTATATATTTTCCACTCTCTCACCCCACAAATAGGAATCTACCAAAGTCAGATCTTCAGATCTTTTATCTTATTTGTTTATTGTTTCATCCCACTTGAAAAATCTAACCAAAAGCACAATGCCTTCATAAGAAAAAATATTGAAAGCATGATGTTGTAATAGAAAGAAATGAAAAGTGCTATAATTGGGGAGCTTTTTCAAAGTACATATTGTGCTAATAAGAAAAAGCAAAATAAAAGGGCAATACAATAATTGGGTAGAATTTTTTTTTAAAAAAAAAAAAAAAAAAAAAGGAGCTTTTCGAAGTACAATGTGCTAATAAGAAAAAAAATAAAAATAAAAAGGAAAATGTTGTAATACAATAATTGAAACAAAAGAAAGTAGGATGCTGTAAGTAACAAATAAACAAAGTCCATTGCTATTAATGTAATATTAATATATAATGATGGGTATGTCAGTTGTGTTGAAGAGTATATCTCTATTTATGCTCCAAGTCGATTGCTGGAAGATTACACTCCATGGAAATAAGCTCACTTCCAGGAAAATTGGCCAATGATTTTACAACTTTTGTAAGCTTCATATGAATACACACATTGCCTAATGCTATTCAGGAGACTCATATGTTGCAGTGAAATTGGGTGCAATATTTCCATATGGAACTCGATGTAATTTCTAAGGAAAAGATTTTTCGCGATATTACTTTTTGTAACAGGGGAGGGAAATCGCTTTTTGAAAATGTTGATTGTTTTTGGTGATTTTAATGAGGTACATGAGATTAGTGAGAAATCTGCATCTTCCCTTTGTCAAAATAGTGTTTTTAATACATTTATTTGGGATGGGGATCTAATTAAAATGTTTTATATGGGCTAATAAACATGGGTCTAAAATGAGTAAATTATATCGGGTTTTGGTTTCTAGGGATTTTAGTGGTTCTAAAAGAAAAATGAGAGTAAAAACTGAAAACTGACATTTTAATCATCAATCA